AGGGGCTCGTTTGTTTGAGCCGTCATGGACGGTACTGAAAGTGCAAGTTACGTCCACCCCTACCGCTTAAGCAAGATAATTCAACAATTTAAAAAAACGTTGTTATATATTTAAAATTTTGAATTTAAAGAAAAATTCCGCAGGGATGGTGTTTCATTACTGGTTGGTTTTTTTCATGGAAGTTTTTATGTTCAAATGTGAGAATAAAGCATACACCATACATTAAATCATGAAGGAAAGTCGATATCACTGATGCTTTTGTTGTCTGAAATTTTCATACATTTTTCTAATGTAATACGATGTCCATAATTTGATTTCCAAATTTAATATATCAGGGTCTTGACTCTTCAGACATATCGGTAACACTGCAAAACTACACACGAAATATATATAATCTATTTTGATAACAGATTCACTCAGACAGTCGTCGTTATAGCCTACGTTTTGAAATATTTAGTTTATACTGATCTATTTTAGTTCGATTGTATAGGAAGCTATACGCTTTATTGAAACACTCGAATCTGTTCTTGGAACCAACCAGGACTACGCAATGTTTGTAGTTCCTTGCTTACGGAAACAACGGTTTGCCCCATACCCTTCGGTCGGGTTTGAACCCACGCGGCCAGCAATCCTAAGAAGGTATCTTCTTCAAACTTGAAGTATGTGTTCCTTATTATTACTCAAATCATGCATGCAAAAGTTCAATATTCTAGTTATGTTCCCCTTGAACTTAGATTTTTTTCTAGAATTTTATTTGTTTCATTCTTACAGGATTTACTTCAAAATATCACACCATAATAATATGACAAGGAATGTAAATCTACAGTCCAGATATTTTCAGAATTATCTCCTCTGTAAACTTCGAATTTTCCTTTTTTATTCTAAAACTCTAATTCTGCATGGATTTGCTACTTCAAATGATAAATATATGTTCATTATATAACACCTACATCGTATGTTATTATATTTATTTGTCGTGCCCTTGGGTCTCCATGATTATTTTCATTTGGAATTTATTTGAAAAGTTTTATATATTTTTTGTATTATCTTTTTTGTTACTATAAATGTTATATATTTGTAATTGGTATGTTCTTTGTCATCTCTCACATCATGTATGCCAATGTTCATAATTCTAGCACCTTTATTTCAAGAGTTATCTCCTTTAAAGTTTTATTCCGTCTGTCTGGCCGTACCTAAAATCTATTTTCTGAGAATACCTTTAAAGAACTTGGAATTTTTCCAACAAATTTACTTAAATAGAGAAAAATTATCAAATACATTTTACATATTTATCCTGAGAAAATTGGATCTTTTGATTATCTGATGTATAAACATAATGTCATTGTAAGGCAAGGAAACTTAACACATTACTATAGTACAGATAAAGTAACAAATCAAAATATTTAATGTTCATTCATGTCTTCCACAATGGTATTACTGAATGGCCACGACCCTTCAGAATGTTGCTATTGTTCTCATCGGTAGGAGACTTTTGTATTGCTTGCAATACTATGATTTTTGCTTGTTATTCAATGAAATGTACATAGGCCATCGAAACGAAGTAATTTTAGCGCTTATTTATCACACTGAGGCGAAGTTACCTTTTATAACAGAAACAAGGATTTTTATTATAACTTACAGAGAAGAAAATAGTTATTTGTCTTCCAAGTTATAATAGACAAGGCAGTTTTGATTTTCTATTTTTTCCTGTCGTATCCAATAAGTTTTGAACTGTCATACTCTTTCCTAGAATATCCATATTCTACATTTGTCAGTTTACGCCAGCGTTTTCATTATTGTATTTGATTATTCGATTTTCTAATAGTTTTCCCTAAATCATCATTAATAAAATTGGACTTGTAAACCGATCTGTATTTGATAGAAATTATTTGTATGCTATAACGTTAATGCGTAATCAATTATACAGTTATATTGTATAAATACTGTACAATATTTCCGACGCGTTGACATATTGGAAAATAACGTCAAAATGCTCTTAATGATTTATTTACATAATGAAAATCGAAATATTTGTCATTTTAACGAGTGGAATTTTCAATTTTCTTCATATTCCATTTTATTCCCTACTTTCTGTCTAATTAATTAATATAAATAGACAGTTTGAAGCTAGTTCGTCAAATCATCGCTTCGTTCTTATTATGTCACTTTATTTGTTTTTCTGTAATGCTTTGTTTATAGGAAAGTGTGCAAGACAAATTCATCTGCGGTGTACTTTGGTTCCCTTGCAATAGTAGAGACGATATATCTTGTTCTACACTTCATAAAAGAACTACAGTTTGCATGGGGTGTGACAACCTTTAGCATGAAAACAACATGTGAACTATTCAACTTCCTGCACATCACCCCGCAGTATCTGGTAAAAAGATTTCCTTTTACTTAGCAATAATGATTAATATCACGTCAACTACAAATTAATTTCTCTCATTGGACGTTCTTACGTAACGTGGTTTCCTAATATAATCCAATATTGGACTACCAGGATATATTGACCAAGACAAACATAAAAGTGTCGATTTAATCGTCAATCTTACAACGTATCCATAGTTTTACCTGGCTAAATGATGATAAAGGAAGGTAGTCAACGTGATACAATATTTTCAAGTTATTGAACATATAATTATGATCTCTGACTCAGTAAGATTAGAGCCATGTCGGGAGACTTCTTCATAATGACATTTCTACAGTTCTGAATTCAAAATGATAAAGTGATATTTTGGTAGATTAAGCTAATGTTATTTATAAAGGAGACATTCAAAATCTTGAAGTGTTGTTATTATAAGAAAATACAAACACGTTAAAGGCCCGTCTATGGTATATCTGACTTGGTTTCTCTGTGTTCAGGTGTAGTCACGTGTGCCATTTATGTTGTTCGATGTATTTAATATTTTATGTGTCCTTTTTCACTTCAGTCGGACTTGTACTTTAAATAGAACATCAATGTAGAAAAAAATATTTCTCATTACAGGTTCCAATGTTGGTTCTTGGCTTCACAACAGAACGTTATATAGCTGTATGTCACCCTTTTGTGAAAGAGAAATACTGTACAGTAACTCGTGCTAAAATTGTTATCATATGTATGTCAGCTCTTTCAATAGCGATTGGGCTTCTCCAGATTTACGTTTGGGCTTGGGATGATGAAATTGGATGTGTGTTTAGGCGTGATACTGAACAATTTAACAAAATTTGGACTTGGTTAACAGAAATGTTAATATTTGGCTTTATTCCGGTGTCTTGCCTCGTTATCAATATTCTTGTCATCATGGAAATTAGACGATTGTCAGCTCAAAGTGCTGCGCATGGGCAAGGCCCGACTTCCGGTAATGCAGCTTCAACTACAACATTACTGTGTGTTTCTTTCTATTTTATATTCACATTGTTGCCAGCTACAATAGTGTATGCCATGCAGTCATCCATACCACAAGGTGAGCCCAGTTTGCCAATCAACACGTGGTCTGATGACCCCGTTTGGAGTGGATATTTCTCTTATTTGACAATAAGGTACATTGTTGAAGAAATTTGTTTGTCAAATTACGCTACATATTTTATCATATACTACGCTACCGGTGTGTATTTCAGACGAGAATTTAGAAATCTGTTTGGATTACAGAAAAAGAGAAAGGGTAAAGGTGTGAGCAGTCGAAGTATGATGTCAGATTATAGTATAGTCCATTCAAATGGAAGAAACACATCTTGCACGGAGACAATGCTTGTCGACTCTCCCAGTGACACGTGATCATTGAAGAAATTCAAAGAAACCCAATCACAAATCAATTTATGGATACATGTGGCAAGGTTGTATATTCTGTCGACAAGCGACATCTGGTGTTTGTGAAATGTAATATCTGCGCACCATCTTTTACCTACGATAATGGAAGTGCAGAATGATATTCACGTTCCCAGAGCGAGAAGTTAGGAGTATAAAAACAGATGATATTAGGAAAATACTCAAAGTTTTTAAGTTGTATGACTTTTAGTACATTTCGGATATTTTAAGTTGTTTTTTTTTAAAGAAAAACTCAGTTAGTTAACTGTAGTGTACAGAGTGCCTCGCTAAAGTTAATAGTAAGGTTTGCATTAAGAAATCACGGCTTTTTAATATACAAATGTATATCTGTCGAAAGAAAAAAGTCATCTCCAAAAAAAACAAAAAAAAACAAACAAACAAACAGAAAACTAATCTAAATTAGTGAGTGATTTTCAAAAGGTCTGGACCCTGTTCGAAAGGTAGCTACCAAACAAGTATTTTGAACTTGAGGAGAACTTGTATATATTCATATATTCATGTAAATTTTGTATATGTGGATATTTCTTCTGATTTTTGAGGGTTTGAATTATAAATCGATCTAGAATATTCTATATTTTGAATGCTTTGTAATATGTTTATATTATATTGTAACAGTAGATCTATATTTGTAATTATTTTATGTTATGTGCAATAATAAGACAAAGAGTCATGTATTAAGATGTTATTATATGTTTACACGTTAAGCTTATTAAGGACGAAATATTCTAAATGTATATGGATGACTTAACGTGTAGAAATATTTGTACAAAATAAAATATATGCTAGAAGTTTACATATTTATATATATATATATATATTAGTTATATATATATATATATATATATGAGTTACTAAATGTTTCAGTAGAAACAAATTTATACACCCTAACCATTTCCTCGGGCGTGATTTTCTTTTCTTTTTTAAATAAGAATTTAAATGAGCTCAACTGGTTTCATCTTATGATGATATAATACATATGGATACTGCCAAAATAATTTTTATTATGTCGCCTTGAAAAAGTCGACATATAGGGGCTACTTTGTCCTGAGCATAACTCAGTCACTATAGGCCTGTTTGTTTGCATGCTTCTTTCAATGACTTGAAGAGCAGCGCACATGAATCATTACCATGCACTTCTTTTTTAGTTATTTCCCATTCTTACTTTTCATACTTTATTTTTGTCCGGGCCAATTTCTCCTACACTTTAAACGCTATTGGCTTGAAACTTCTTGGGATAATGGATCTCATTGACAAAAACTTGCACTCTGCACTTCATGGGTTTTCAGTTATTGTCTTTTTTTAATTTCCATATACTTAAGCTTGTCCAGAGCATAACTTGGTCACTATAAGTTTGATTGACTTCAAATTTGGTATGCAAGCTTTTTTCATTGACCTGAAGTGCAGTGATCAAGAATCCATCACAGAGTCCTCCATTTGATCTGTCAAAGAAAAACTTTTCCATTGTATTTTAATTTTTGATAATATAACAGTTTAATTAATCCTGTCGTAACATTGTCACAGTTCAAATGCCAGTAAAGTAAAGGTACATGCACATTACAAGAGCAGTACTTACAGGTAACCTATATTTTAAGAAGAAATGTCTAACTTACAGCTATACTGTTGACAAGGCGACACATCGGACTCGCAGAGTTCTAGTTGAACATACAAATACTTTTATACGACTACGGCGTATTCTGCTAGAACAGGATCTTTTGAGATGAGGTGGCACCTAACGTGTCCTTTCTAGGAAATTTCTTAGAGCAAAGTACACTCCAAGATTCAAACTATACTTGAAACTAGCATAACGTTATATTATGTTACATATGTACCATTCATTACACATTAAACCACAAAATCATTGTATATAAATAATACTGATATTCTTTTATATGATAAATCCAGTGTATTAATTAATATAATGTTTGGTATTGAATAAAGTCTATTGACCTATTTAATATGTGACGTAAAATGGTAAGGGGTTAGGGTCAACATATCGCATGTTAGAGTTGATTAGACATTTTTCTGATTGCATGGAAAAACCAATTTTCCGTGTCTAATAATACATAGAATCTAGCCACTTTCAACTAATTAATCACATGACGTCAGTTGTTTTCAATGTAATAAAAGTACATTAAAGAATCTGTTGTCTGTTGTCATTTATTTATTATGTTGCTGTCAAGTAATAAGTGTGTAAATTAAATTTGCACAGCAACAGTTGTTATTTATATCACTCGCATCTTGAAGCTTTTCTAGTTAATATCCAATAATTATTCATTTCTAATTCTAATCAATTCAACAGACTTGGTATTGTTACGCTCTGCTTTTCAAAACATGAAGCATGTTGTACTCTGTAAAAATAATAAGTTATACAAAACTATAAAACATAGAAAATATAAATGTAGGATCTTAGTTTTCCGTACATGAATATTTTGGGGCAGACAACTGTGAAGAACGACCGAACTCGCACCTATATTACGGGAAGCAACTCTGAATATGTGCGATCCTGGACCTTGTAAGAGCTATACACCAGCAACTACCGATATTTTTACTGGTAAATTAGAATAACTAACTTATTTAAGCTTTAAACTACATGGTCAAATATTAAAACTGGTACATTGAACTTTAAGTTTCTAGTCTATTCATGACATAACAGAAAGCCTAAGTTATATTTTGAGCAACAGTTATCAATGATGAGGAACAATCTCACTCGAAGTAATGTACTTTATGATTCTGCAGATTCAGTCTGACTATGTAATTGTAAAAGAATATATGATGTAGGCCTACTTTGAATTTGGCAATCGTCGAAGATGTAATGAGATTCACATTTGAGGTTGTTTTTTGTATGTTTTAATGGCTTAATTCTGTATCTATTTTCTGTTGTCATTTCTTTCACACGAAAAAACAACCCGCAAAGGACAGAAAAGAAATCTTTCACCCCGATAAAGTTTGAGTATTTATTAACGATTATGACATCGCTGCAAAAGTTTGCACGTTAATTTTAATCACAGATTTTTAGAATTTTCCTTTTTCCGTCGTGTAAATATTCTCTTTAGTATGTTTACCTAGAAACGTAAACATTGAATCCCATAATTCCCCAGAATGCTTTCATGTTAAGTTATCAAAACATTTTTTCTTTGATGTTCTTTAAAAGTTTCCAAAACGTTACTTCCTGAATCATACTTTGCTTCCGCTGCACAGTTGTAGAGATTAAGTTTTTTGTATGGAAGTCGAAATACTATTTTATTCTATTTGCTAATTGTATGACAAATAATTTCATATTCAGTGCCACATTCTTCCGATGATAAGCATATAACACGATCTAAAACCATTATATAAGCGGTGTAAAACTCATGTTAGCCATGTCTAAAGAAAATAAATTTTCTTTGGGCATAATGTGTCTTTAAGATCAATCTAAATGAGAAGTTTATGTCAAAGTATTTTTTTAAAGAAAAAAGAAAAACAAACAGAAATTTGAAATGGCAGCATGGGGATTAAAGATCACATTATTTTCAAAATAACGAAAGGAAAGCTTGAGACACAACTTGTCTTAGGTAAGGTCTAAGGATTAAGTCTTACTAGCCATAATAACAGTCTGAAATTGAAAGAAGGGCCGGTGTTTAAAGTGTTCTTTAAACTATTATCATCACATGAAATCACATTTGCTTGCAATATCCATTATCATATCAATCTGATTTATACAATACCGTTCAGTTTCATTTATTACATTCGCAATCAAGATACTGAAATGCACTGAAAATTCGCCATTATTTCAATGATTAAAACGGTTTGAGAATTGTGTCGTTTTGAAATGGTCATATTTTTAAGTGTTTTTAGTAGAATCAGCTTTATATAGTTTTGCTAAAATTCATTCTGTCGTTTCCTAAAATTTAGTATTCTAATATAAGAATACCTTACACAATTGATTCTCTTTTACATCGTCCTTTAAATTAAATTACTAAGGATAAGGATATCACAAAAGTTGGTGTTAATATTTTTGTGTTTGCTTCTATAATAACACAAAACAATATGTCATTAAAATATTATTCTTCACTGCTAGTAAATTGACAAATATGACTTGGTAATAGCTGACGGACATCTCTATTGTTTAACGAAGCGCGTAAAAAGTCTGTTTTTATTCTGGCAACAATGACTATATAGTGTACATTACATAAATTGATGTGTGTATGATGACTGATGGCTGATTTAATAAGTATTGCTTCCTTTAAGGAATATAAATCAGCGGGCCTTTAGAAAAAATAGTTACTTCACATTAATATTAAATGTTTGTCCTTAACTTTCAAATAAAATTTTGTACTTGATAGAACTGTATGTAATGTATCTAGGCGAATAGAAGTGATTCTTCCTTGCATGCCAATAGTTTTATCCAATATTTTATCAGAATTAATTGTCTATGAATGCTCATCTGGATCTTACCTAATTCGCCGTGAAGAGCGTCTAAATTTGAAGCTCGTTCGCCAGATAAATAATTTATGTCATATGTTACGGTTCTGATCGGAATACATGTCCCGAGGGTACCCCGCCCATTAGGCGGTAACGAAGCTTTCTGGTATGGGTAAAACTAACTGCAGTCTTCTATGCAAGAAAATACATTTTTACAGAATTTTGAGTGAATAAGTTCAACATCAGGTCCGACGTGATGACCCCAGATTTCAGCTGCGTAATTTAACGTAGAGGTTACCAATGAATAAATCACGTTATGTAAATTGTTAAAAACAAGGAACAAATTATGCAATGAGTACAAGCCTGTCTGGTCTATTCGCTTTTGTGTTTGGTTCCAGTTACAATGTTATTGTACAAGAAATTTTACTTGATCTTTTTTATCATACGTGAAATCACTTTATCTGTAAAATAATAATTGTAAATAAACAATATAAAATGAAATTTACACAATTCAGTCACATAAAGAGTGTCAAAGCTCTATAAATAGATAAAGCAACGAATATAATTAGAGCAATATATTTTGTTATAAAAATAATATCGATACATTTATATAAATTAATAAATTGATACAATCATTCTATTCTTCAAAATTCATGATCTCGAAAAACAACAAAGAAGGATTAAATATTTTTTTCAATATCCGAAAATTATAAATGTTTTATCGAAATTGAATAGAGATAAAACATTACATGCTTTATTGTAGAACATTACATAAATCAAAGCAAACAATCATCTGTGCAACACATGCTTCTTGGATTACAATTCTTTTTTAGAATATTAAAAGTGTCTCGAATTTACATAAACATTTTAGACATATTTAATAAATCTAGTATGCGAGTGGCATGCATTTAGGAAGATAATTTATCATCTTATCGTGTTTATAGATCTCGTGTATTATTTAATTGTTTATAATAATTTTATCCAATTGAAAACAGATTTCCATGCTCCAAAGATTTGATGCAATACTGTAAAGCATTTAGAAACCTATGTTATCTTTTTGAATCATCTGTAAATGCTCAGATCTTTCAATAAAACACACTTATGAACAAAAAGAACTGAAAATAAAGGGTTTAAACAAGTAACAGCCGCACATTTTCTTTTCCGATATTATGTTTTCATGTATGTTGTCTATTTTAAATAAAATAGGGTATCACGTTATATCAATTGTAGTCATCTCTCAAATTACGTTGTCGAGTATTTGCAGATTTGAATCCTGGTAATCGAACTTAAACATATATATTAACTCATTGTTGTTTTATAACGATAATGCATTCAAGAATATACTACTGATCGTGTTATAACTCCATGTCACTGATAAATAGAAATAACGCATGAAGGTTTCTAACAATAAAACTAAAATGACTGACTATTGTTACAAGCATTACACGAGAAAACCTATTTATATATCTTCATTAGACTAGTACGGAAGTGTGAACGCATTTCCATCTTGTCACGAACGAGATGCCATTGTCGATCAAAGAACCGACATCAAACTGTTTAAGCAACTGCCACAAAGTAGGTAAAGATTTTCATGTACAATCGCAGTTTGTCAACATCAAACAGTTGATGTATTTGTAAACAAACAAAAGATCTTAAGTTATGAACAATTCAATAACAGTTCAATAAAATAGATAGTTCTTTGCTTTATATTTACTTTGGAGGAATGCAAAAAATTCGCAAGAGTTATATCTTGAAAGTCTACTCTCAATCGAGGCATCTTAGTCTGTCAGAAAATTTGAAAACAGAATCGTGATGTGAATAAATATTGACGCAAAAGGTGCATCATTTTTTACCACATCTGGCAATCCTTCTTTCATTTAAGACAAGTATTGCCTTAAAAGTGTCAAACGAGGCATTACACAACCGCTCGTTTCAAATATTGTTATTATGTATTCTGAAAAACATGTTACCATTCAAACATCCCAGCACCGGCTTAAGCTGAAACCTAATTGAGATAAGATGGTATTTTAATTTAGAATTGCAATCCTACGGTTTTGATATGACAGGTCTATGCCATTACATGGTCTAAGTGTGACATGCAGCTGGAAAACAAAGGGTAGTCTAAATCAAAATAACATAAGTATCCTTTTGGATCATATGTAAATATTTAGATCTTTCAATGAAATATGTAAATAGAATTATGGGAATAGATCACAGATCTTTAAGAGTTAAAATTATTCAACAAGAAAATACTGAAACAACCTAGCAAGTGATGAGATAATTGCAAAGGGAATATTGCAAAGGAAAATATGTGTACGGATTTTCATTTAATTACAACTGAAGAAATGTAATTGCAGTTGTTGCTTTCTTCACTGTCATAGTGCTGTTTTTGTTCCATTGCATATACCCGGTTTGCTGTTAAAATTGCAACACGAGCGATGAAAATTACATTTAACGTTGTAAAGGAGACTGGTACGGAATACTTTGGGTCGTTTTAAGTGTCTTTCAGTGGGAAATAATTTTCTTGATTTAGGAACGTTAATCACTATAAGGAATAATCAATACAGTTAAAGTCAAAAGATACGGATGTTTTGTCTTTGTAGTTGGCATTCTCCATAGACAAATGTTTGACATTTTGAGTGAATGCATTTTAACATATCCAATCCCTTATGATTTTAGATAATAACACTATCGTGACATAAATTTATTCTGAAAACTTTCATAATAGTGTAACGAAT